AAAGGTGTTAGTTCTTTGAATGTTTAGTAAAACTCCCCCGTGAAGCCGTCTGGACCTGGACTTTTGTTTGCTGGGAGTTTTTTATTATTACTGCTTTTGTTTCATCAGTTGTTATTGGCCTATTCAGATTTTTCTGATTCTTCCTGATTCAGTTTTGGGAAATTGTATTTTTCTAGGAATTTGTCCATTTCATCCACAATGTCCACTTTCGTTTCTGATTTTATTTATTTGGGTCCTCTCTCTGTTTCTTGATCAGTCTGCTTAATGGTTCATCAATCTTGTTTATCCTTGCAAAGAACCAGCTCATTTTTTGTATTTTTTTTTTTGTCTCTATGTCATTTATTTCTGCTCTAATCTTTATTATTTCCATCCTTCTATTCACTCTGGGCTTTTCTTGTTGTTCTCTTTCTAGTTCTTTAAGTTATAGGGTTAACTAGTTTATTGTTAATTTTTTTTGTTTTTTTGAGGTAGGCCTGTAGTGCTATGAACTTCCCTCTCAGGACAGCTTTTGCTATGTCCCAGAGATTTTGGGTTGTTGTTTGTTGATTTACATTTTTTCCCCAGGAAGTTTTTGTTTTCTTTTTTGATCTCATTGGTAACCCATTCATTGTTTAATAACATGCTATTTAAGCCCATGTGTTGGAATTTTTGGGGTGTTTCTACTGTAGTTGATTTCTAATTTCATTTCACTGTGATCTGAGAAGGTACTTGATATGATTTCAATCTTCTTGAACTTTAAAGATTGGTTTTGTGTTCTAACATGTGGTCTAGCTTTGCGAATGATCCCTGTGCACTTGAGAAGAATATATATTCTACAGCTTTGGGGGGAAATGTTCTATAAATGTCAATTAAATCCATCTGATCCAGTGTGTCCTTTAGAGTCACTGTTTCCTTGTTAACTGTTTGTCTGGAAGGTCTATCCAGTGAAGTCAGTGGGGTGTTAAAGTCCCCTACTATGACTATATTGTTGTCGATCTCTCCATTAAAGTCCCCCAGAAGTTTTTTTTATACATTTAGGTGTTCCTATATTGGGTGCATATATGTTTACCAGGGTTATATCCTCTTGTTGGATTGATCCCTTTAGTAGTATGTAGTGTCCTTTGTTGTTTCTTGTGATGGCCTTCATTTTTAAAAAAATATTTTTTTATTGATTTCAGAGAGGAAGTGAGAGGGAGAGAAGAAGATAGAAACATCAATGATGAGAGACAGTCATTGATTGACTGCCTCCTGTTCACCTCCCATTGGGGATTGAGCCCACAATGCGAGTGTGTGCCCTTTACTGGAATTGAACTTGTGACCCTTCAGTCCACAGGCCGATGCTCTATCCACTGAGCCAAACCACACAGGGAAGTAATGGCCTTCATTTTGAAGTTTATTTTGTCAGCTATGAGTATTGCTACTCCAGTTTTTTTTTTCTTTTCCATTTGCATGGAAAATTTTTTTCCATCCCTTCACTCTCATCCCGTGTGTGTGTTTTGTTCTGAGGTGGGTCTCTTTAGACAGCATATAGTTGGGTCATGTTTTTGTATCCATTCAGCTACCCTACATCTTTGGAAGGGAGCATTTAATCCATTTATATTTAAGGTTATTATTGATAGGTACTTATTTACTTTTAATTCTGTATGCCTAGGTTTCTCTCTATTTCATCTTCTCATTACAGCAGTCCTTTTAGCATGTCTTGTAATGCTGGCTTGATGGTGATGTACTCCTCTAGCCTTTTTTGTTGTTGTTCAGCAAGCTCTTTATTTGTCTATTTTTTTATTTTTTTAATTATTTTTATTGATTTCAGAGAGGAAGGGAGAGGGAGAGAGAGAGAGAGATAGAAACATCAATGATGGGAGAGAATCATTGATCGGGTGCCTCCTGCACACCCCCTACTGGGGACTGAGCTCACAACCCGGGCCTGTTCCTTTGACCAGAATCAAACCCAGGACCCTTCAGTCCACAGGCTGACGCTCTATCTACTGAGCCACACCTGCTAGGGCTTGACTATCTATTTTGAATGATAGCCTTGCTGGATATAGTAATCTTGGTTTCAGATCCTTGCTTTCCATTACCTTGAGTACTTCATGCCATTCCTTTCTGGCCTGTAGAGTTTCTGATGAGAAATCGGGTGTCAGCCTTATGGGAGCTCCTTTATAGGTAACAGTTTTCTTTTCTCTTGCTGCCTTTAAGATTCTCTCTTTGTCTTCAATTTTTGGCATTTTAATTATGATGTGTCTGGGCATGGGTCTGTTTGGATTCTTCTTGCTTGGGGTTCTCTGTGCCTCCTGAACTTGTGTGACTTTTTCCTTTACCAGGTTAGGAAAGTTCTGCCATTATTTCTACTTCATTATTTCTTCAAACACGTTTCTCTATCTCTTTCTCCCTTTCTGCCTCTTCTGGCACACCTGCTATTCTAATATTGTTATGTTTCACATTGTCCCCCAGCTCCCTTAAGCTGTCCTGTTTTTTTAATTGTTTTTTTCTTTTTGTTTCTCTGAGTGATTTTTTTCAACCCTGTCTTCTTATTCACTGGTTCAATCCTCAACTTACCCTAATTTGCTGTGTATTCCTTCCAATGTGTTCTTTGTGCTATGTCATTCTTTATTTCTGTTTTCCTAGTTACAATATGTTTTCTCATGCTGTTGAGCATCTTTCCCATCATTATTCTGAACTCTGTATCAGATAAATTTCTTATCTCCATTTCATTTTTCTCTTCTTCTGGAGCATTCTCTTGTTCTTTCATTTGGGGATTGTTTCTTTGTCTTATTTTGGCTGCCTGTTTGGGTTTGTGACTCTGTATAGGTAGATCTGCTAAGCCCCTCAATCTCTGGTTCTGAACAGTATCAAACTGTTTCTGACTAATTAGATCAAGCAGAGACTCAGATCCTCCAGAGACCACCCATTAAGAGACTGGGTCTCAGGAACTCCACACTGTGTGGAGCTAGCTCAGCCAAGGATTCCGCAAGCCTGAGGGAGGGTGGTGAAGGATGAAGAAATGACAGACCGAGAAAATAAGCTGGGTCTAGGTCAGGGGTGGGCAAACTTTTTGACTCGAGGGCCACAATGGGTTCTTAAACTGGACCGGAGGGCCGGAACAAAAGCATGGATGGAGTGTTTGTGTGAACTAATATAAATTCAAAGTAAACATCATTACATAAAAGGGTACAGTCTTTTTTTTTTTTTTTTAGTTTTATTCATTTCAAACGGGCCGGATCCGGCCCACGGGTCGTAGTTTGCCCACGGCTGGTCTAGGTGGATCTTCCTGTGCCTGGCTGAGGCCACAGAGAGAGACCCAGAAGGCAAGCTGAGCCTTTATTTTATAGCCAGAGGTAAACAAGGTAGTGGTCACCATAGTTACAATATCCTTGTGAGTTTCACTTGTTTTGGCAGCAGTTGCTGCACCTCCCATAGCCCACTAGCTACCCAGATAAGATCTAGGGAGGTCATAAGGTCAAGCCTAATTATACTAAGAGGACTGTGCTGTCTAAGCTGGGACTTGTTTGTGACTTTGCCAACAGGTCAGTCCCAGGCTTAACCCTATAGCCGCGCCCTACACACACCTTGGGGCAAGTTGTTTTCCGATAGGGTGGGTCGGCTATCTTCCCCCCAGGCAAAGTTGCCAGTATAGCAAATGTCTGTGTGACAAAGATGATCTCTGCTGTGTGAGGTAATGACTCAGCACAGGAAACTGGGGTGTCTGCCTTCTGAGCTCTAACCCCAGAGCCCAGTTCCTGACTCCTGCTCACACAGCTCCAATCCACTCTGCCCTCCCTCTGCTGGAGCATAAGGTGAGTGGCTCTACACTTTAAAGGGTGCCATTGGCCCTTTAAGAGGGTGTGTGAATTTCCACCTCTCTGTCCCTGGAAAATAAGCAACCCTGCTGCTTTTCACAGCCAGATGTTTTGTGGACACTCTGGTCAGTTCTAGTGCTCTCTGCTGGAGGGCCCAGCTTGGAGATTAGATCCCACAGTTCTCAGTGGCAACCCCCCGTCAGCTGAGTTCTCTCTCGGAGACTTCAGTTGCTGTTTGTGGACACCCAGCTAGCCCTTTCACACCTCCGCCCCTCCTACCAGTCTCTATGTTGTCTCCACTTTTGGTCCTCAGGTATCAGGATTCTCTCCTGCAAGTTTTCCATTGATTAATCAGAAAGTTTTTCTGTATTATAGTTGTAATTCCAGTGTGGTCCTGGGAACAGCATCCACTTACTTGACCACCATTTTTAATATCCTATTTAATTTAAATTTAAATAGTTACACATGAGTGGACAACACAGGTTTAGACAATTTTCAAGTGTTTGTGGAGGGCTTAGTAATTTATCCTAAAAGTATTAGTGACTAGCTACCGTGTTCCAAGCAAGGTGTTTACTGCAGGGATACCTTGGAGAGATATGATGATGAGGTTGCTGTCCTAATGGAGCTTACTATCTAGTGAATTAAACAGACATTCTTTAAATAATCACAGAAGTAACTATCATGTTACTCAGTGCTTAGGAGAAATAGTAAGTTGTGCTAGAGAGGTTATATTCATGAGACTCAGTGAAGGCTTTCCGGAGGAAGATAGTTAAGCTGAGGTAAATGGGATAAACAGTAAAGAAGAGAACGCTTGAGGCAGATGGAACAGCTTATTCAAAGACCTGGTGGTGGGAGGGACCTGAACATTTTTTTTTTTAGAAACTGCATGAAGGTCAGTTTTGGCTGAAGTCAACGTAGCAGAGAGAGGACTACTTTTAGAAGAACAGCAGGCTTTTGCCATGCACCATGCTTACCTCTTGGAGCTCAAAGACTAATGAAACATTGTCCTATGCTAGAGGGCTTACAGTGTAGTGACCGAGACAGGGAAACAGGTAAGTGGAATATAGACACCCTAATAGATGTCTGTAGGGGTGCTGTGTGTGTGCGCGGCGGGGGCAGAGGGGGAGCGCGGGGGAGAGTTACAGAGAATGATGTATTTGGTTAAAAAACAAAAACTTTAGGAAAGAGGTTTTAAAATATACTGAATAAAATTTTTGTTTTAAGTTGTAATTTCTGATGAAAACACTCGGGAGAAGTATGAAGTGTCTGGACATTTTCCATTAACGGGTCCTTGGTGGCGAGTGAAGGTACAAGTAAAGCCTGCAGGATCAAGGAACTATCAAGTTCAAGGATTTCCATCGTACTTTTTACAGTCTGATATGTCACCACCGAATCAAGAAAATATCTGTTCCCTCTTTCTTAAAGACTGTAATGTCCCCAGTGACACTATAACTAAATTTTTAGCTTGGGTAAATGCAACATTAGGCTATGAAAATCTCAACTTTGAAAATCTTTGGGAAATGTTGAGAACTTTTGAGAAGGAAAATATGAAGAATGGTAAAAAACAATCTACACAGCAAGAGTCCCAACCAGATAACAAGATGTGGCGTTCTATGAAAAAAACAAGTAGGTGTGATTTTTATTATCGAGTTTAGTGTAATTGAGATACTTACTGACTTAGGTCTTTTAAATATTGTCACAATGGTATCTTGGCATAGTACCTTAATTTTTTTTTTTAGTTAATCTTCACCTGAGGTTATGTTTAGAGACGTCGCATGGGGGTGGGGGAGGGAGGGAGGGAGACAGAGAGAGAGAAAGAGAGAGAGAAAGAGAGAGAGAGAGAGAAGAGAGAGAGAGAGATATCAAACCTGAAACCTAGATATGTACCCTGACCGATTCAAACCCAAAACTTTTTGGTTTATGAGATGATGCTCCAGCCAACTAAGCCACCCAGCCAGGGCCATAGTATTCTTTTTAAAATTGGTTTGATGAAAATGTGTTTATATTGCTTTTGAAGTATGTCATTGACATTCCAGGTTCCTCATCTTTAATATGAAGAGACTGGGTCCTAGCTGGTTTGGCTCAGTGGATAGAGTGTTGGCCTGTGGACCGAAGGGACCCAGGTTCGATTCTGTTCAAGGGCACATACTTGGGTTGTCGGCTCGATCCCCTATAGGGGGTGTGCAGGAGGCAGCCAATCAATGATTCTCTCTTATCATTGATGTTTCTCTCTCTCCCTCTCCCTTCCTCTCTGAAAAAAAAAATAAAAAATATATGTTATATATATTTTTATATGAAGATATTGGGTGAGATGATCTTTGGCAGAACACCATCATATGACTTCAGTGACAAAAGGATCACAGTTACAATGAAATTGATTAAGGTTAATATGTGTATTATTTTTATATTTAGCTTTGATTTTATCTTTATGTCATTGAGTCAAGAATTTTATTCTAATTATTTGCAAACAAAATGAAACAAAAGACTAGGAAGTTACCTAAGCATTTAAAGGATATAAATTTTGGTGTTTGATACAGTGAAAACCATCTCAGTACAAATAAATTGTTATAATATGAGATTTCTTGCTGGTTAAAGTAAATTTATTAATCTCTCTTTGATTTGGATTTCTTGAGCTAGGGGTACTAAATAAGAAAATCCATCAAATTGGTTGTTCTGTGAGCTCATTTGTATGTTTTGATTTGGTCTTTTTTGATATCCTACAGTTCCATTTAGAAGTGTAATGATAGCGTTGAAGTTTCCAAAAATAATGGAATTTCTTCCAGTTCTTCTGCCTCGACACTTTAAGCAGCTCATAAGCTCGTGTCCTAACGAGGTGTTGGGAAACATGGAAGAGATTTTAGGTACACATCCATGGAAGCTTGGATTTAGTAAAGTAAGTAAAACATTTGCTTAGAATTTAGTAATCTTATATAAGGCAAGATTTCTCAAATGTGACAATTTTTGTATCTCTTTCAAAGGAAAAAAATTGTATAGATCTCAATGTTGATGTATTTTTCTCTCTTTTTTAAAAAAATGTTTTTATTGATTTCAGAGAGAGGATGAAAGAGGGAGAGATAGAAACATCAATGATGAGAAAGAATCATTGATTGATCAACTACCTCTTGCACATACACTCCCTGCCCCCCACTGGGGATCAAGCCTGCAACCCAGGCATGTGCCCTGACAGGGAATCGAACCGTGACCTCCTGGTTCATGGATTGATGCTCAACCACTGAGACACACCAGCCAGGCTAATGTATGTTTCTTTGATTGTTACAAATTAAATATAAACTTACTTTTTTTTTTTTTTTTTTACTGAGAGGAGAGGGGGAGGAGAGGAGGAGGAGATCTAAATATAAACTTTAAAAAAAATCCTCATCTGATAATATGTATGTGTGTGTGTTTTTGTTTGTTTTTTATTGATGAGAGAGAGAGAGAGAGAGAGAGAGAGAGACAGAGACAGAGACATCAATGTGAGAGAGAAATATTGGTTGTGTCCCATACCTTCCATGACCGGAAATCAAATTCACAACCTAGGTATGTGCCCTGCCTGGGAATTGAATCCACAACTCTTTGGTGTATGGGACAATGCTCCAACCATCTGAGCCATATGGCCAGGGACTAAATAGAAAGTTTTTGTGCTTCTAGCTCTTATGCAATAAATATATAAAGGAAAACAAAACAACAAAATAAATGCCATTCACATTATTAATAATTTAGTTATATAATTTAATTTAATATGGCAAACATTTTTTGCTAACTTAACTGCCATTTGCAACTTGAGTATAGATTTCATTGAAGGCACAAGTTCTTTGAGTTTGGCAAATGCATTCTGCAGTGCAACTCAATCCTGTACTTTCCTATTAGAACTTTTAAGAACTTTCACTGCTCATATCGGATAGCATGATTAATTCAGATTTTTAAAGTTATTACAACAATATTTATGAACGACTACGCTTTTGTTATTATTAGACATCAAGAGGCTCCAGTGGCATTGGAAACCAAACGTGGCACTGAAATTTTGGCCGTCCTTGGTTAAAGGTGGTTTTCCAAATGGAAATACAATTTAAAAATTCTGATGTAACTTTTGGGTCCCCATGAATGTGTACAGACACCCTCCCCATCCTGTTTGAGAAATACAAGAATAATGAATTTGTTTTCTACGTAAAATGACTGGTTTCTGTATGCTTTGAAAAATAAGATCCTGAAATGTTAGATTATCATATGTATTTATTCAGTAGAGAAGCAGTCAGAGCAGTGAACATTCTGGGACTCAAGTGGGAAAAGGAGGCTTGAAGTTTCACTGTTGACCATCCAGAATAAAGACTTGTACTGAGGTATTGTATTAATTTGCTAGGACTGCTCTAACAAACACCATAGACTGGGTGGCTTATACAACAGAAATCTATTTTCTCACAGTTCTGGAGGCTACAAGTTCAAAATCAAGGTGTCAACAAGGTCGATTTCTTCAGAGGTCTCTCTCCTTGACTTACAGTCTTCTTGCTATGTTTTTACACGGTCCTCTCTCTCTAGAGAGTTGTCTGTGTCCTAATTTCATAAATCACATTGGACTAGAGCCCTCCCCAGTGGCCTCATTTTAACTTAATTACCTCTTTAAGGACCCTTTCCCCAAATGTGGTCACATTCTGAAGTACTAGTCGTTAGGATTTCAACACATGAATTGGGGGTACAATTCAGTCCATAAATATGTGTCTAGAGGCTCCATGAAAAAAAAAGGTGGAGCTGGTGGAAGACCCGCTAAGTGGATCCTGACGAAGGAAGTTCCTTACCTCTTTTGTAGCCTTTGGGCAGAATTGTTACTAAGCGCATAGGAAACTGAAGAAGCCAAGTAACCTGGCTGGTATGGCTCAGTGGTTGAGTGTCGACCTAGAATCCAGGAGGTCACAATCTGATTCCCGGTCAGGGCACATGCCCAGGTTGTGGGCTCAATCCCCAGTGTAGGGCATGCAGGAAGCAGTCAATCATTGATTCTCTCATCGTTGATGTTTCTCTCCCTCTCTCTTCCTTTCTGAAATCAATAAAAATATATTAAAAAAACAGAAAAAAAAACAAGGAAATGAGATAGTCATTAACTTCACAGAACACACAGAGTTTATTATAAAGCTAAGGAACGTAATCATGGTACATCAAGTTGCTTATCTGAATCCTATTTACACTGATTTAACCTAAATTGATTAACAAAATGTATACTGTAACTTTTTTCAAAAATGAGAAGGGGAGAAGCATATGCGAAGGTGATAGTATAAAAGAGAGAGATCTTCTGTAGAGAAAGACTTTCTATAATAGGGAGTTAATATGAGGGAGTGGGAGGCAGGAAAGGATAAAGAGGGTCAAATATATGATGATGGAAGATTGGACTTTAAGTGATAGACACACTATATAATATATAGATGATGTATTATAGAATTATAGACTTGAAACTTATATAATTAACCAATATTACCCCAAAAAATTTAATTTAAAAATATCTAAAATTTAAAATAAAATTAAGGAATAGTATATTCCTTAATATACTATACTTTGAGAAAATATAATTTTAATTTAAAAATTATATAGAGCTCTGATCACAGGATAGTCAATAAAAAAATTAGTGATGTATTAGAGTTGTTTCCTCCAAATTTAGTTGAAATACATGTCTCTGGGACTTAAAAAATTATTAACAAATAACATTGTTTTTACTGTAATTTTAATAATCATGAACATGTACAATTTTTATAAAGCAGCTTGAACTTTATTTTCTTAAAGATCACCTACAGAGAGCTGAAGCTTTTGCAGTGTGAGGCAAGTTGGACAGCATTTTGTCAGTTTCCGTCTCTCCTCCTCCTGATGACTGATGTGCAGAAGAATGGGCTGATAGTATATTCTAAGCTGAAGCAGCTGTGCAGAGAGCATGGGCACACATATGTGGAAGAACCTGACTTAACTTCTCTGTTGTCAAACCAGATGTCTTTTTATGATGTTTGGGAGTCTCTGAAGTTTTTGAAGGATATCAACGTGGTGACCTATAAGAAGGAATGTGTCTTTCTGTATAACCTTTACCAGGCTGAGAAAGGCATTGCCTCTTCTATAGGTGACCTGATGAAGAGGCCTCCGTGGTATTTTCATGTCGATGTGAAAAAGGTGCTTGCGTCTATTCGTACCAAAAAACCTGAGAATTCAGGAAGGGGTGATCCATTGAACGAAAGTAAACCCGATGAAACATTAGAAACTTCTGAGGCCAACACACAGGACAGTGGGGACCATATTTGTGATCATGGTGAAGATGAAGGTAATGCAGAAATACCTGACGATCAACTGGACCAGGACCAAGTGGCTGCCTTGGAGATGGTCTGCTCCAATGCTGTGACAGTCATCAGTGGGAAAGGCGGTTGTGGGAAGACCACAATTGTTAGCCATCTTTTTAGGCATAGAGAGCTGTTGGAAAAAAGGGAAGTAAAGAAAGCTTGTGAAGACTTTGAGCAAGACCAGGACGTACCAGAAGAGTGGATTACCTATACAGAGCAAAGTCTGCCAAAGGCAGACAAGGGTATAGAAGTTTTACTTACGGCACCTACAGGGAAAGCTGCTGGCTTACTGAGACAAAAGACTGGTTTTCACGCTTATACACTGTGTCAGGTAAAACCTTTTATATTTCTTCTCAATAGGAAACATTTGCCTTAAAGACAGAACTTATTTAATTAATTTAGTTTTCATTTTTTCATGACGACGTGTGGGAAATATGAATGCTTTTGCTGAATATACACTTTGAATCTAGCTACAGTAGAAAACTTAAATAAATTAGTAGTTACAAAATAATGGCAAGGATGTAAAGTACAGCCTGGGGAACATAGACAGTAATATTGTAATATTATGGTGCCAGGCAGGTACTTGAAATATCAGGGCAACACTTTGTAAAGTACATGACTGCCTAACCACTAGGCCAGTGATGGCGAACCTTTTGAGCTCGGCGTGTCAGCATTTTGAAAAACCCTAACTTAACTCTGGTGCCCTGTCACATGTAGAAATTTTTTGATATTTGCAACCATAGTAAAACAGATTTATATTTTTGATATTTATTTTATATATTTAAATGCCATTTAACAAAGAAAAATCAACCAAAAAAATGGGTTCGCGTGTCACCTCTGACATGCGTGTCATAGGTTCACCATCACTGCACTAAACTATACACCTGAAACTAATACAGAATAATATCGAATGTAAACTGTAGTTGAAAATAAAATTTTAAAAATTACTTGTTACCATTTAAGAAACCTGTGTATACAATATATGTGTACTTACAATATAGAAATGTTTCTGGAATGATAGAGACCAACCTATTTAAGATGATCTCATCTATATTTTTAAAATAGTGAATCTTATTACCTCTGTAATAAATCATTTTTAGTTGTTGGTTTTTTTGTTTGTTTGTTTTTGTTTTTGTTTTAAAATATATTTTATTGATATTTTACAGAGAAGAAGGGAGAGGGATAGAGAGCTAGAAACATCGATGAGAGAGAAACATCGATCAGCTGCCTCCTGCACGCCCCCAGTGGGGATGTACCCGCAACCAAGGTACATGCCCTTGACCGGAATCGAACCCGGGACCCTTGAGTCCGCAGGCCGACGCTCTATCCACTGAGCCAAACCGGTTTGGCTGTTTGTTTTTTTTAATGTGAAGAAGAAGTACGTATTAGGCTGGGAAGACAGCACTTTATTTCTGGATGGAGTGTTATGGTTGGGAGAAGAGGAGGACCTAAGTGATTGGGTAGCTCAGGCTGGGAGAAGGCTTATTTGGGAATGGAAAGGGCTATAGAGAGCTCTCCCTGGTCAAAAGTAATAAGGGGAGGGTTTAAATTTTTGCAGCGGGATAGTGACATATACAAAGCCTGTTCAACACACTAAGTAGTCATTAGGAAGCATTTTTTTAAATTATTAGATCTTTTTTTTGTTTTTAGATTTATTTGATCTATCTATTCACCTCTATAACTTTTGTGTTCTCTATTTCTTTAGCCTTTTTCCTATGTTACTCTACTTACACGCATTACCCACCCCCTCCAATTTAAGAGTTTTGTTTTCAAATAACATGTTTTTTAAAAAAATTATTTTGGGTAAATTTTATAACCTGAACTTAAACGTGCAATACTTTACTTGTAGGTCAGTTACAGCTTCTATTTTTGGAAGAAAACAATTGACAAGGAGAACAGAGAGAATAATAGTCCATGGAGATTTTCTTCAGTGAGAGTTCTGGTTGTGGATGAAGGGAGTTTGGTATCTGTAGTAATCTTCAAATCTGTTTTAAATTTATTGTTTGAGCACTCCAATCTTTCTAAGCTTATTATCCTTGGTAAGTTAAAATATTGTTGGAATTCTAATTGTTTAGTTCACAGCATTGTGGTTAAGTGGCGGTTTATACAATTCACTGCTTTAATATCCATATCCTACAGTTGGGAAGGCATTCGTCAAAGCCCATACTAAAGCTGCACTGAGTTCAACTTGACCACTCTCTTTAGCAGTTTGGGAGGCTCTTCGTTTTGGCCAGGGAATTGGCAGGTTAGGATATGAATGAAATAGAGATGTGAGGGGTCACTGCTGATCACCTAAATGATAGCTATAAAAATGGTAAAAATGTCACAGATCCAAAGTAAATAAGGATATCGATTTATTTGGAAATAATAAAATGTCTGAAGTATAGACCTCTTAAAATAATTTTATGATTTTAAGCTCATGGCCCAAATTAGACCTCACCAACCTCTTAAGTCCTTTTCAATTCTGGTGAGATTCAGTTAGGTTCTATTGGGTATATTGTTCTGTAGACGGTATGATTTAATGGAAAAAGAAATAGAATTGTAGCGTGAGAATCAAATTCTGTATAAGTAATTTTTTTAGATATTTGAGGATATTTTATAAACAGTTGATTCTATTAAAGGCTTAAGCATTCTCCCATCTTTCACCTAGAAAGTAGTTTTTCTTATCTCTCTGGTTGATTGGGTTTGTTTAAAGTAAAAATGTTTTTAATAAAGCAAAATATTATCATTACATTACTAAAATTTATCTGTTAGCAAATGCATTTGGTTTGTTTATTTTGTATTTTGTCTGTTTATTTTATTCATTTGAGGCCATAGATTCTTTCATGTTTAGTAAGACATTGAGCAAGATTGAATAAGTAACAGCTATCTCAGGCCTGTGTTTTTTCTTCACATGTTGGCCAAAATATATGTCTTTACACAGTTGGCCTGTGGTTATAGGTAGGAAAGAAGTTTGACTCAGATTTTACCTTATTGAGTTATTGCTATTTTTATCTTAATTGTTTAATCTGGATGGTATTTTTGTGTGTGAAATATTTTCAAAGACTTGTTCTCAAGTCATTTTAAACAAAGATTTTTTTGGGGAAGGGCTTTTTTTTTTCTCTCAGAGTAAGTCTATATAATTATGGCATATATCAGTAGGGCGAAATAATAATTCCTAAATTTCAGAACCACAGGTACCTAAAACCTATATCTATTCCCACCCCCCTTTAGGTGATATTAGACAGTTACCCAGCATTGAACCTGGCAACTTACTGCAAGATCTTTTTGATACTCTTAAGTCAAGGAATTGTGCTATTGAACTAAAGACAAACCATAGAACAGAATCTGAGCTAATTGTGGACAATGCTACAAGGTATAATATAACTAACATTTTCCATTTTCTCTTTCTTGTGTTAGAAATAAAAGGTTAAAAAATACATATTAGCTTTTATTTTTTGGTTTGTTAATCCTCACCCAGGGATACTTTTTCCATTGATTTTTAGAGAGAGTGGAAGGGAGGGAGAGAGAGAGAGAGAGAGAAACATCAATGTGAGAGAGACACATTGATTGGTTGGTTGCCTCCCACCCAGGGATCAAGTCTGCAACTGAGGTACCTGCCCTTGACCGGAATCAGACCCAGGACCCTTCAGTTCGTGGGCCCTTGCTCTATCCATTGAGCCAAACCAGTTAGGGCCATATTAGCTTTTGAATTAATGACAGTACATTTATTATGCCCTTTTAGCAAACCTATGTTATCTTTCAGATATATACATACTAGAGGCCTGGTGCATGAAAATTCATGCACTGGAGAGGGGGGGGTCCCTCAGCCAAGCCTGCCCCCTCTCACAGTCCGGAGCCCTCGGGCGGGAGGTGACCAGCGATCAGGGGAAGGAGATGACCCCATCACACCTCTGCTGCTGCCACTGCTGGCAGTGCAAGCCTTGGCCAGCCCTGGTTACCTGAGCCTCGGGTGGCCCTGGGCAGCTGGGCAGCTGCCATCTGAGGCTTGCCTGTGTCTCAGGCCAGCCCTGGGTGGCTGGGAAGCCGCCATCCAAGGCTGGCCTGCGCCTCAGGTGTTGGCTGGGCAGCCAACATCTGAGGCTTACTTGCGCCTCGGACTGGCCCTGGTGGCTGGGGGGCTGAGAGGATTGGGAGACTCCGGAGGCAGGCGCGCTGAGTGGCCAGACCTGCCTTGGGGTGGGCCCAGCCGTGCTGCGCACCTGCTGCCCCAGCAAGGCTGAGGGGACTGGGCATCACCATCTTGTGGCTGTGGTGCCGCCATCTTTGAGGGCGTGGCAGTCAATTAGCATATTCCCTCTTTATTGGCTGTGGGCGTGCCATCTTGTGAGGGTGTGACACTCAATTAGCTTATTCCCTCTTTATTAGATAGGATACCCTTTCCCCCATAATTAGAAAAACAAAGGTAGTATTTTTCATTACTGGCCCAGTAATAAAATTTAAGAGTGAATGTGATTTCAAAGTGTGTATGTGGATTAAAGTTACATCAGTCTTGCCCTGGACAATCTTTCTCAGTGGTTAGAGTGTTGGCCTGTGGACTATAGGGTCTTGGGTTCAATTCTGGTTAAGCGCATATATTTCAGTTACAGGTTCAATCCCCAGGCCCAGTAGGGGTGCAAGCAGGAGGCAACCAATTAATGTGTCTCAAGCATGTCAATGTTTCTCTCTCCTCTCCCTCTCCCTAGTCACTGTCCTTTCCACTCTCTCTAAAAATCAATGGAAAAAAATAACTTCATTCCTTGGGTGGGGATTAAAAACAAAAGGTTACATTAGTCTTAGTGACTAGAATGAGCCCAAGGGGGACTGAGACTTAGAAACGAGTTCATTAGAGTTCAAGGGAGACTTTGGGAAAAGATTTCCCATAATTTTTGCAAGAGACCTCAAAGCAAAATAAATGAATATGGCATTTTATTCCTTGATGAATCTTGGTGGCATCCATGGCATATTCCTCTCCTTAAAGTAGAAAAGAAACCTTATTTTCTCATAGTCTTTGCACAAGTCTTTAGAGTGATCTTCTGTAGTAGATGATATGGGAACTCAGATCGCTAAGAGATGGTTTTATTCATGGGCCAAAATTTCTTTGTTTTGATGTTCTTTTATTGCTTGAACATTTCCTTGGTTGGAGATGAGCAGAAACTAGAATATCAAAACCTACTTTCTCCATACCCCTGTCTACCTTGGGTTGGATAGTGGGAGTAGAGGGAGAATTGATAGGAAAAGGTAGATGATGTAGGTTTATATTAAAACACTAGAGGCCCAGTGCACAAAATTTGTGCACTTGGGGGGTAGGGGCGTCTCTCAGCCTGGCCTGTACCCTCTCACAGTCCGGGAGCCCTTAGGGGATGTCCGACTGACAGCTTAGGCCTGCTCCCTCTGGGGAGCAGGGAGTAGGCCTAAGCTGTCAGTCAGACATCCTTAGCGCTGCTGTGGAGGTGGGAGAGGCTCCCGCCACCACCGCTGCACTTGCCATACATGTGTAGCAGCTTCTGGCTGAGCGCAAGAGCGCACTGACCACCAGGGGACAGCTCCTGCATTGAACGTCTGCCCCCTGGTGGTCAGTGCGCATAATAGCGACCAGTTGTTCCGCCATTCGGTCAATTTGCATATTAGCCTTTTATTATATAGGATTATGAAAAATATGCAATTGGATGTGTTATATTCTTTTTTGTGAATATATTTTTATTGATTTCAGAGAGGAATGGAGAGGGATAGAGAGATAGAAACATAAATGATGAGAGAGAATCATTGACCAGCTGTCTCCTACACGCCCCCTACTGGGGATCGAGCCCTCAACCTGGGCATGTTAACCAGATTGAACCTGGGACCCTTCAGTCTGCAGGCCGATGCCCTATCCACTGAGCCAAACCAGTTAGGGAGGATGTGTAATATTCTTTTCCTATAACATTTCTGCTCATTTTGGGGATTTTGGTCGATGATTGGTCATTTTTTTTGTTTGTTTGTTTGTTTTTTTAAATATATTTTATTGATTTTTTACAGAGAGGAAGGGAGAGAGATAGAGAGTTAGAAACATCGATGAGAGAGAAACATCGATCAGCTGCCTCCTGCACATCTCCCACTGGGGATGTGCCCGCAACCCAGGTACATGCCCTTGACCGGAATCGAACCTGGGACCTTTCAGTCCGCAGGCCGACGCTCTATCCACTGAGCCAAACCGGTTTCGGCGATGATTGGTCATTTTAAAGTCTAAAAATCTTAAGGGAATCTGAAGCACATTAGATTTCAACTCAGTTTTATCTGAAATTTAGGAATACCTTTAATTAACCCCTTTAATACCATTTGGGCTGAGCTCCTTTCATCATTTCTTTGTAATCATCATCAAATATCTATAATCCCAGTGATACCAGATAGAAATATATTGAGATAGAAATATATTACATGTCCTGGGTCAGAAGCAAAATAGGAAATTCGTGGTGATTTTCAATCCCCCAGAAATTAAATCTGGGATATTTCCAGCAGGGACAGCCTCCTTCCCTCTGCTTTCCTCCTCCCAACTCCCTTGGGCAGGGTTGACGATGACACAGTTGGGTACAGGGTTGACGATGACACAGTTGGGTACCATTGCCTTTGATAGCCAGGCTGGTGTTCGGTCATCAGGGAGTCAGTCATCTTCCAAATAACCAAGGGGAGACTATGATGTCAAGGCACCTTCCCCTTTCTCTGTTTTCTGATAGAATTTGCTAGTCTTGGGAAATATAAGAACTAAAGAGAGATGGGGACGGAATAGGACGAAAGAGAAGATGTGGATACTTGGTTCAACTGGGAAAGTGAGGCCACTCACATATGATATACACAGAAGAAAGGGGAAAAGAAAGAGTAAATGTAAGGATAAGAGTTCAAGCTAATTCAAATAGACAAGGAATTGGAGCCAAATAGGCCCAAGTAGGCTGACTAGCTCCCTTGCTTCCTAGCTCTGTGGCCTGGGCAACCCACTGCAGTTGACTAAGTCTCATGTTGCTCACATGTGAAATGAGGCTGTACCTACCTTGAGTGGTTCTTTTGGAGAAAAGTAGATCAAGTTCTCAGAATGGCGCTTAGTAAACTCCCTGACAATTTTTTTCTAGTGCTTTTAATTTGCTAGGGTTGGGGGTCTGATTGCTCAATGTAACATTATGATCTTGCCAATTCTATTTTAAAATTCATTTACTATTTATAATGTGTATATGAGTAGTCTGTTTGCCCTGTTTATCTATGAGCAAATATTAATTATTGTAATGACATTATCTCTGGTTATATATAAAGGTACATTTTTGGATATTAAGGTTCTTGGTGTACCATTTTACCTGTTTTTAAGAATCTCAAAACGCCAATTTCCAAAATTTGATGCGGAGCTGAGTATCTCAGATGATCCAACAATCCCTGTCTCAGTACAAGATAAAACGTTTATTTTTGTGAGACTCCCAGAAGAGGATGCCAGTTCTCAGTCATCAAAAAGTAATCACCACTCTTGTAAGTATAAACTGGGTTATGCAGGGTTACATGTTTCAGTATTGTAATATAGTTATTAAAGGACTAGTTAGAATGTTATTTGATGGTAAAGATAAGTATTGCTGGCGAAAAAATATTAGGCACTGAAAAGGCACTTTTAATCATCAAAAGCAGATTACCCTAGAATTTTGTAATCTGCAAAGGCAGATTACCCTAGAATTTTAGATTTTTAGACTTTTAGCTGTTGTCACATACATACTAAGAGCTCAATAAATATTTGATGAGAGGATAAATGGATGTAGATGATTAGTTTAAAAGAAAAGAAGAGAAAAGAAAAGAAAAGAAAAGAAAAGAAAAGAAAAGAAAAGAAAAGAAAAGAAAAGAAAAGAAAGCTCCAGTAATCCAAGTTATTCAGGAGAAGGCATGTCTTTTTTTTTTTTAATCTTTATTATTGAAAGTATTGCCCCATTGACCCCCTCCATCCCACTTTCACACCCCCCCCCTCGCCCCAGGCCCTCACCACCCCACAAGAAGGCATATCTTGATGAAGTTTTTCTTTCGTAGCAGTTGGAAAAGTAAATGCATTTGTTATTTTGATATATTTGTGAAACAAAAGGAATGGCTGTCGGCTGTTGCCAAGTTGAGTCCTAATATTTCTGTCCTCTTTCTTATGAAATGGACAAGTATCACTTCTATTTATGGGCATTAGGAGGACACTATGACAGGGTTGAGGAGGAGCATGGGATAGGAGATCTTCACCCTTATTTATGTGTATGGTCCATGTCACATCACTTAATGGCTTGTAAAATGGGAATCCTAGAGACAGGGCCTGTGGAGCAGTTGTGAGGTTTGAGGCCATTCATCAGTTTTGAGGCACTACATAAATTTTAGTTTTTTTGTGAATAATAGATATTAAGGTATTCCAAATGAACCTATTTAAATAGATTAAACCTTTTGATCTTTATTTCTATTATAAACTTACTTAGAAAACTTTTTGTAGTAGTATAATGGCTTCTTCAAAGTTGAATCAGTGAAGATTTAAATGATTATTATTGAGGATTTATTATAGTTGGCACAGTTCTTGAAGGATATTTTCCCTACTTAGCTACTTTCACTTTGTATGTGACATTAAGTGACAGAACTTTACCTTTAAGGCTTTCTTCCTTTGTGTGTGTCACCATGTGTTACAGTATTCTGTTTTCTTTTTAATACATAATCTTCTATTAATGCCTTTTGGTTTTTTTTTAAACTATAGAAATAATTTATAACTTAAAAAAGTCAAATGATACCAAAATATTTGAAGTAAAAATTAATATTTCCCAGTAATCTTCCTTTTGCCTCTTCCCTCAAGACAACCCCATAAAGGTCACATATAAGGTAAGGGCTTGATGTTTAACCTTTTAAACATCATATCCAAAAACAACATATATTACTTATTTTAGTTTTACATAAATTGGATTATAAGCTGCACACTGTTTTGTGATATTTTTTAAATTAAATATATTATGAATAATGAATAGATAGTATTTATTGTCACAACAGCTTAGTTAATATAGGTACTAGTATAGATGAAGAAAATGAGACATAAATGGTTAAGTAACTTGACCTCTTTGCCACTCCATTTAGATCTACCTAAAATATGGTTAGTTTATTTTTGGTACCCCTTCTTTATATTAATGAAAATGTACTTTGAAAAATTGTCTGTTTCAGAATGGTAGCAAAACTTAACTGATGTTGTTTTTCTATCTTTATTACAAACTTCAGCTGGAAAATTAGTCTTCTCTTTAAGAGAATTGAAAAAATACTCCTTAGAGAGGCATACAGAGCTTTTTCATTAATAATTAATTAGGTTGTTGAGTAAATTATTTCCATTATTGCAGAGTACAAAGACCTAAGACAGGCTTCTTAGCTGGGTTAGAATTTTAGAGGTGCTAAAATGTGAGCCAAACACATATCGTAGAACCAATGAAATACGATGTACATATTGATCTGTGAGATGTAGAAAGAGTGAAATAAGTGAGGAGCAAAGCAGCATGATCCTGTATGTGTAGAAGAGAACTGAGCTCTGTGAGACCTTGGCAACTCCTGTTCTGGAAGACCAGGGCTGGCCGGGGTGAGCTGAGTATTGGCTACTTTTTAGTGCTCATCCTCCCTCCATCTGAAAAATGAAGTGTTAGCTCACAGCTAATTTAGTCTTCCTGGAGCAGGGCCTCCCAAGGCCTGATTTCTTCATTCTCCTGTGGTTCACCTGCTGAGGGAAAGGCACACAGCTGGAGCGTTCTTACTCAAATTGTTATGTCTTCTCTCTCTCATGGGAGATGTTTGTGTTTTGTTATATTGCTAAGAGAGCTTAGAGGAAGCCTGCTTCTTAGTGCTCTGAGGAAGGACAAGTTGTAAGTGGATGTTTCACTGTCAATGATCCTACTCCAGTTTCCATTTGGAAAAGTACCTTTGCTTCCAAAAGCCTCAGTATCACATTCATAACAAGGATGTAATCAGTGGTGGTGATAGTCGAACTATTTACTAGCTGGAAGGGTATAGTCACTCTGGGAATGGGTGCCCCTGCCGTGCCAGGGTTAATCTTTTAGTTGCTGAATCATGGGGAGGTGTGGCAGTGCTAGGGGAGGAAAGACCTGATTGGAGTGGGAATGGGGCATTATGGAGTTTGAGAGTAACTGTCTTCCAGCCATTTTATCTTAATACTAGTGTCCCGGTGCATGGATCTGTGCACATTGAAAGGAAATGAATTAGAAGAAATGTGTGTGTATGTATGTGTGTGTGTCTGTGTATGTATGTATGTGTGTGTGTGTGTGTGTGTGTATATATATATATATAAAGGCAGTGACTGTGACGACTGAAATGACCGGTCGACCGGTCACCATGAGGTGCTAGCATACAAATGCTTGCCTTCACGGAGCTCGCACTATAAGGTTAGGTCAGGGATGAGAATTCAAAATTGCCACCAGCACAGATCTGAGGTGCCGCTTCTCAGAGTGGCCAGAGATACACCCAGTAGCGGACTGGGGTGTGACTGAAGGGCTGGCACTGACATGAAGGCAAGGCCATTCTGGATTTCCCAGAGGAGCCATTGGATGCCTAGGAGGTGGAGCTTTTGATGCTGACTGGCATAGAAACCAACCAATCAGAACCAAGTCTGGGTGAACTCCGAGGAGCCAATGGCTGCCTAGGAGGCAGAGCTTTTGATGCTGACTGGCATAGAAACCAACCAATCAGAACCAAGTCTGGGTGAACTCTGAGGAGCCAATGGCTGCCTATGAGGCGGAGCTTTTGGTGCTGACTGGCATAGAAACCAACCAATCAGAACCAAGTCTGGGTGAACTCCAAGGAGCCAATGGCTGCCTAGGAGGCAGAGCTTTTGATGCTGACTGGCATAGAAATGTACCAATCAGAACCTAATCTGGGTGAACTGCAAAGGCAGAACCTAAGGTGGGGACTGAGGAGGGTTTTTTTTTTTTAAATATATTTTACTGATTTTTTTACAGAGAGGAAGGGAGAGGGATAGAGAGTTAGAAATATCAATGAGAGAGAAACATCAATCAGCTGCCTCCTGCACACCTCCTACTGGGGATGTGCCCGCAACCAAGGTACATGCCCTTGACCGGAATCGAACCTGGGACCTTTCAGTCCACAGGCCGACGCTACATCCACTGAGCAAACCGGTTTGACGAGGAGGGGTTTTAAGGGCAACAGCTGTTTGGTGTAAGGTATAAGAAAGCGGTTCAATTTTTTAATAACCGGTTTGGCAGTATCGTGCATATGGCTGGCTATCAGTCCAGATATAGGGGTTATGTATTTTTGTCTGCAAGAGCATCTCCTGCTGCTGAAAAAGGCTTTTCCACCCCATTTAAGCAACCCTATCTTATATAATCCATCTATACTAATAAAAGGGTAATGTGCTAATTAGACCGGGTTGACCAGCCATCTTCTGGATGTCTGACTTCCTTCCGGACAAAGCCATGGTAGTGGGGGCTGAGGCAGAGGCAGTTAGGGGCCATTAGGCTGGCAGGGGAGAGCAGTTAGGGGCGAGATCAGGCTGGCAGGGGTTAGGGATGATCAGGCCGGCAGGGGAGGGCAGTTGGGGCGAGATCAGGCCGGCAGGGAAGGGCAGTTGGGGGCGACCAGGCCAGCAGGGGAGGGCAATAAGGGGCAACCAGGCTGGCAGGGGAGAGCAGTTAGCAACCAGGCTGGCAGGGGAGGGCTGTTGGGGGCATTAGGCAGACAGGCAGGTGAGTGGTTAGGAGCCAGTGGTCCTGGATTGTGAGAGGGATGTCCGATTGCTGGTTTAGGCCCGATCCCAGGGCCTAAACCGGCAGTCGGACATCCCCCGAGGGGTCCCGGATTGGAGAGGGTGCAGGCCGGGCTGAGGGACACCTCCTCTGTGCACAAATTTTGTGCACCGGGCCTCTAGTATTTTAATATTGCTATTCACGTCTTTCTAATGAAAAGAAAATAGGATTCTACCGAGTCTCCTATCTATATACTCCAGGACTTCTGTGAGGATCAAATGAGATGAGGCATGGGAAAATGCTTCACAAACATCTGGTTAAACTGTAAAATGTTTGCACCTGGTTATAAAGCAAGTCTGTTTCCTGGGCTGAAGAAACTCTAAGGGTGCTAGTCGCTAGGGAGAGGAAGCTGGGCATTGCTACGTGACATCATTACCCAGCACCCACAGCCACTGTTTCTGGGCTGGGCTGGGCTGTGGGCTGCATTTTGCACCATGGGATCTTGGCAGCATTGGCTGTGATTTGGTGAGGTGTTGCTCCAGGGTGGTGGTGGGGCCCGTGTCCCACTTGGGGGAAGCCAAGTGTTGGTTTGTCAGTGCCAGGTCTGTGGTGCCGTTTATTTTTAAATGGCCAGTGCACGTCATGGCAGCTCCTGCATCAGGGGATGCATCTGCCTCCTGGTGGTCAGTGTGTGTCATAGCTACCAGTCAGACGGATAGACACTTAGCCTTCTATATATATAGATTTTATGCTGGTATGTATTCACTAAATATCAGCCTTGGACATAATATGTGCCTTATATGAATGTTATGAAGATGAAATTTAAATGTAATACGCAGAGCTGTTCTCAAATTTTAACTCACTACCACTAGTACTACCAGAGCTTAAAACAGAAAGAAGTCTTACATTAGTAATTCTGTTTCATATTTTTGTCTTCTTGTTCATATTTTATTTATTTATTTAAAATATGTTTTATTAATTTCAGAGAGAGGAAGGGAGAGGGAGAGACAGAAACATCCATGATGAGAGAGAATCATCACTTGGCTGCCTCCCACATGCCCCCTACTGGGGATTGAGCCCACAACACTGGCATGTGCTGTGACTGAGAATCAAACCATGACCTCCTGGTTCATGGGTTGATGCTCAACCATGAGCCACACCAGCCGGGCCTCTTGTTCACATTTTAAATTTAGCATTCACAAATCATCAATGAATAAACAGTTACTTTATTACAAACTAGGAGCTGACTTGTGGCTGGCCTCTCTGTTGAGGACAGGGTGTCTGGAACCCTGTCTCCACTCTCTTCTGTTGCTCTGGCTGATGCAGGGAATGAGGTTGATGTTCCTGTGATGAACTTGTATTCTGTTTGGTGAGATGTTTTCCTGCACCCCTTAGCAGCAGTTCTTAATTCGTTTCTACAGTGTTGTAATTTGGTGCTTTTCCATGTTAACTGTTTTCTCTTGAATTGTCAGATTTATATTCTGCTGTTGAAACTTTACTCAAAGAAAAGGACCTAGAGTGTGCAGAAACATCACAATTTATTGCATTTAGAAGGTAAAACATTTGCAATATTTTAATGTCTTTAGCTTTAAATCTTCTTATTAATATAGATACTGTGTGAATGAGAGTCTCTCTCTTTTTTTTAATCCTCTCCGAGGACATGTTTTTATTGGCTTTAGAGAGAGAGGAAGGGAGAGGGAGAAAGACAGAAATCTTGATGTGAGAGAGAAACATTGATGTGTTGCCTCCCATACCTGCACTCTGACTGGGGATTGAACCGGCAACCTAGGTATGTGCCCTGACCGGGAATCAAACCCTCAACCTTTTTGTGGATGGGATGAATGCTCCACCCAATTGAGCCACACCACCCAGGGCAGAATGAGAGTTTCTTCTAGTTCATCACTGTTTATTCTCTCTCTGATTTTAGGTATTTCTTTGTTAGGCATGCAGAGGGCATTTTCTAAGCAGGACTCTTTCTACCAAATATTATGTTTAGAAATTCACAGGATCTCTGACTGGGGCAAAGGTTTATGTTAAGATCAAATTTACAAAATACTTTTTCCTGGAGAAAGTCCTGGAGACTTTTATTAGAATCCATTATGTCATATTGTTGGTAACAGAAACAAGCACAAAACCGTTCAGGTGACCTTTGCATTTTCATGTGTTTCAGGCAAGACTGTGATGTCATCAACGACTGCTGTTGCAAGCACTACACAGGCCTCCGACACAAGTGAGCACCAAAGAGTAGGAACTTTGGGGATGGTCCTACCTTGACTCACTGTTCTTTTGTTTGTTTTGACATTGATCACTGTAGCCACATATTTAAACATTATGTTTTTTTATTCATTTGTGAAGTAAGATGATCTCTTTAATTAAATATCATATATACCTTAGGAATTGACTTTTTGGTAACCAGTGTAGTAAAAAAAATAGTCAGATTTTCCTTGTGGTTTCTAGGTTGGCAAACTCCAGCTTCTCCAAGATGAGCCTGGAGAATTCAGGAGAATTTTTCACATTCTAATATGTGCGTAGTGTGTCCAAGAACTGTAGCAACAGGCTGCATGCAGAGAGTACCTTAGTGAACACCGATCAGAGAAATATGAGTGGAGAAAAGCCATTCTATGAACACAGGAAAAATTAACTCATATCTATTACATTTATCAACACCTTCTACTTATTAAGTGCAGAAAACTGAGAGATGTGTTAGTTGAGGGAATACACACACACACACACACACAGCACGTTAGGTAACCTACGAAAGGGTTAACAAGCACGAGATTGGGGCATGTAGTCTGGATTCCAGTGACTATGATCTTGGGCAGGTATGTGAAAGAGGGTACTTACACAGGATTTCCTCATAGAGTTGTAGTAAGGATAAATGAAATAATATGCCTACAGCACTTATTGCAGTAACTGGCATATTGCCAGCGTTTATTCAATTTGCTGCTATTATTTTAATATGTTACAATTATCATCATAGAAATACATATAAGTGCTGTAAGACCTGAAATAGGGTAGTGATAGGAGTAACTGCAGAAGAGAGGATGAATTTAAAAGGTAGAATCAGTAAGATATTTGGTAACTTTTTGAATAGAGAGGGAAAGAGAGACATCAGCATTTATGCCAAGATTTCTAACAAAAATTTGGCTGGGCAGTGGTCTTGAGTTTGAAAGTGTAGGTAATCAGACCACACCTGTGGAGTCTGATTCCTTGTTGAACTTTGGAGAGTAAAAGTGGAGTAAAGAAAATATGGAAATTATTTTGAGCATCAGATTGGATCTGAGTAGGAGTTAATGCTTAAACAAAATGAAATTAAGGTTTTCCAAACTTAATATTGTCATTTTCTAACCCAGAGACCATAAGAATAGACTTATATTTGGAGTTGGCCATAAAATTTGTTGTACCAGGAATGCATATCTCTCGGATTTACTGCCTGAAAATAACTTCAACAGTCAGAAGAGTAATGAACTAGAAGATGGTATGCCTCATGGTGCTGCTAAAAATAAGCATGACTTTGAAAGTGGTATTCGACTCTGTAATGGAGAAATATTTTTCATAAGAAAGGTAAGTAATAATAGAAAAATAGGACCTTTTTACCTATTAGAGGTAGATTTTTTTTTATTGCTCTATAATTGAATCAGAATCCAGCCATATTAGAGTTGACATTCTTCTTCCATAATTTTTTGTCAAGGATTTTTGCATCCATGTTTGAAGAATATTGGTTTGTGGTTTTCTAGTAATGTCTGATTTGGTGTCAGAGTGATGCTGGCTTTATAAAATGAAGGCTTTTATATATCTATATCTATATCTCTATATATATGTATTTTAATCCTTATCTGAGGACATGCTTAGAGGAAGGGGGAGAGAGAGAGAGAGAGAGAGAGAGAGAGAGAGAAACATTGATGTGAGAGGAAAACTTTGATGGGTTGCCTTCTGTAGGTACCCCAACCAGGGATGGAACCCACACCCAGGCATGTGCCCTGACCAGGAATCGAACCAGCAAACCTTCAGTGCACAGGATGATGCCCAACCAACTGATCCACTCTGGCCGGGCTCTTCTATTTTCTAGAAGACTTTGTGAAAAACATTTTTAATAAGTATGAAGTGCTTGAGTAACAAAATCAAGGGACAAAGGACATATTTTACAAAGCATAATTTCCTTGGTTGCTGCTTAAATAGAGAAACTATAAAAGTAGTCACCTTGAATTTGTTCTCATTGTAGAAACACTCTCTTAAACTTATAAGCCGATTCTTTAAAAGTAGTTTTGCAAAGAGTATATGCAGACTTACATAGTTAATACAAGAAATAAAATGTATAGACTTCAAAATAAGAAAGACAACACATACTTTTCCAGAAAGCCAAATTTAGTTAAGTTTCAAGGACTAAAAATTTCCATTTGTGTTTATTAAAATATTTGTGTGTGTGTGTATATATGTGTGAGTGTGTGTGTGTGTGTGTGTGTGTGTGTGTGTATTCAGTTTGTGCTCAAGCATAGGTTTTAAGCCTTTTGAAATTCTTAACAATTATACTGAATATACATGCTATTTTACTCATAAGATGTTTGCATATGATGTTCAGTCCAACCATAGAATATCTTTGCAGTGTGCATATTTGAACACATACAAAATAGTTCTTTGTTTTGATGACAGGATATAACTGATGTAACTTTTGGAAAGAGAAGAAGATATTTGACCATTGATAATATGGCTGGTTTGGAAGTAACTGTGGATTTTAAGAAACTAATGAAATTTTGTCACATAAGACATGCATGGGCAAGAACCATTCACACTTTTCAGGTAAGAATCAGATTTATGAAGCTGTTTAAATAGCTTGCCAAGCCATAGAATTCCTTATATTATTTTCTTCCTAATGTTTATTGCTTTTATTTTTTTAAATTAGGAAAAAAAATGTACAAAAGCACAGAAAATGCTACACAAATGTAAACTTTCTACTCTTTTTTTCTTCAGAGTTGTCTTTCTTGAGGAGCTAAGACATGCTAGCTAAAGCCTCATCCTCAGGCCTTCCCTTCCCACCAGGGGTAGAGGGCCAGGACTGGCAGGACTGAGTTTGCCTCTTGCATCCATCTCCAGTGTTGCTTGGCATGGCACTGTTATTGATCTTGTCTTTATTTAAAATTTTGATATTTCGATCATCATGGATCTTTTTGCTTTAAATTTTGCTTTTTAAAAATATTATATTATAATATTTATCTTGATTGCTGAGTTTCTAGGCATCCTCTTAAATTTTATGTCCTAAGCAAGTGCCTCACTTCTCCTACCCTTGTCCCATGCCTTCCTACCCCCGTCAGAAGTTGCTTCTGCTCTGAATTTGCCCATTCACACAGAAACAGTGTCATCAAGGTGTGCAAAATGGTATTCTAATGCTTATAGATTTTTGTGACTTGCTTATTTTTTTATGTAATCAACTATTATTGGGGTATAATTTGCATACATATTATAATTATAAAGTTGGATGAGTTTTGACAAATGTTTCCCCTTTCTCCACCCTTGTGAGGCAACCACTTTAAAAGAAAAATGTTTTTATTGATTTCAGAGAGAGGAAGGTAGAGGGAGAGAGAGATGGAAACTTCAGTGAGAGAGAAACACTGATCAGCTGCCTCCTGCACAACCCCTACTGGAGATCAAGCCCACAGCCTGGGCATGTGCCCGGAACCCGTGACCTCCTATAGCATGCACTGACGCCAACTAACAGAGCGTCACCGGCTGAGGGAACTACTTTTATCTTTTTTTATTTTTTTATAGAGAGGAAGGGAGAGGGATACAGAGTTAGAAACATCGATCAGCTGCCTCCTGCACACCTCCCACTGGGGATGTGCCCGCAACCAAGGTACATGCCCTTGACTGGAATTGAACCTGGGACCTTTCAGTCCGCAGGCCGACACTCTATCCACTGAGCCAAATCGGTTAGGGCGGGAACTACTTTTCATTTGGGAATAATTTTAGATTTACGAAAGAGTTGGGAAGATAGCACAGAGAGTTCCCATATACTCTTCACCCAGTCTAACCTTGGACCACATTGCAGTTAGTGCAACTTTTAAGCTCTACTTTAATGCTCTTAAATTTTCATAAGTTATTAGTGGCTCTGTTATTTAGCTCATTGTTTTGAGCTCCCCTCTCTGAAGTTGGAATGTTGTTTTAATGATGAAGTTTCCTCAGCTTCCATTTTTATGCAGAAAAATTTAGGTCAGCCTATATCCTCTACGAGTAGGCAGACACTAATTAGTGTAGGATTTTTATTTTTTAAGTGAATGGTGTCATACTTACCCCATCTCAGTTCCAAAAAGAATTTGAAATAGCTACAGAAATGCCTACAATTCAGCATGATATTTAAAAAAGATAAAGAAATGACATCAAGTGGAAAATAAAGGTAAGGATGGTGAAGGATTCCTGCCAGGAGTGGGTTGGAATGCTTATACACACACCAACCTATTTGCTTGCTAATGCAGTAGATCCTGGGACAGAAAGAAGGCACAGTGAAAAAAACTGGTGAAATACAAACAAAGTATAGAGTTTAGTTAATAGCATTGCACCAATAGTAATTTCTTTTTGACAAATACCAAAATTATTTAAGATGTTAACTTAAGGCAGATTTGGCCTTAAATTCCCCCAAACAAGAGAGAAACAGTCAGTTGACTGTTTCTATTGGATAAAAACAACAACCATTTATGAAGATGTGCAGTATTTGTGGCTGTGAGATCCTGGAGAAATTTCTTCCATGGTCTCTATACTTCTGAAAACTCATATCATTCAGTTCTAGGACATTTTCTTGAATAATTTCATTAAGATCTCATGTCCTGAGTTTCCTCTGTTTTGTCTATCTAGAGCAGTGGTTCTCAACCTTCCTAATGCCCCGACCCTTTAATACAGTTCCTCATGTTGTGGTGACCCCCAATTTCATTGTTACAGATTGAACATAATTAAAGCATAGTGATTAATCACAAAAACAATATGTAATTATATGTGTGTTTTCCAATGGTCTTAGGCGACCCCGGTGAAAGGGTCGTTCGACCCCCAGAGGTGTTTCGACCCACAGGTTGAGAACCGCTGTGCTAGAACCTCAGTTATGTTAGATCTCCAGAAGTGGTTATCTCAGTTTCTTATTAATCCCTTTTATTTTCCATCTCATTATCATTTTGCTGTATTTTCTGAGAGAAAGTAAACTACATATTATGTTAGAAGGTGGTAGATGCTATGGAAAAGGGGTGGGGTGCAGTTATAATTTTATTTTATTATTATTTTTTCCTCACCTGAGGACATGCTTAGAAGTAGAGAGGGAGGGAGTGGGGAGAAAGAGAAAAATATAAAATCAGTGTGGGAGAGAAAACTTCCATTAGTTGCCTTCCCTGTGTGAGCTGACCAGGGATTGAACCTGCAACCTGGGTATGAGCCCTGACCATGAATCGATCCAGCAATCTTGTGGTGCACAGGACAATGGTCCACTGGGCTGTAGTTGTAATTTTAAATTAGGTGATCAGCATAGGCCTCAGAGAAGGTGGCATTGGAGTATAGACTTGAAAGAGGTAAAGAAGTTAACTATGTGGGTATCAGGGAGAACATTCTAGGTGGAGGGAAGAGCCAAGGTCAAGGTCCTTAGGTGGGAGCCTGTCTGGCATATTTGAAGAGTTGGAACAGCCAGGAGGCCAGTGTGGGCGTGACAGGAGATGAGGTCAGAGAAGTAATGAGGGAGAGGGGGTTAGAAGGATAGGTCACATCCACGGGCCTTCTAGGACTATGTATTAGTCAGTAGAGTAGCCAGATCTGGCTCTCCACCTGTTTTTGTAAATAAAGTTTCATGGGAACAGTCACATTCATTTACATGTTGGCTGTGACCGCTTTTGCACTATACAGGAAGAGTTGAGTAGCTGCTGTAGAGACCATCTATTACAAAGCCTAAATATTTATTCTTTGACCCTTTACAGAAAAAGGTTTTTGGACCCAACGCTAAAGTCCATATAGACTTTCATATTCTAAGTCTATAAAATCATGAAGGTTTAAATATTAATGGTTTGTGTCGATTCATACAAGTTGTAAGTTTTAGAACAAATTTAGAGAATAGATGTGTATATAATTAAAAGTAAATGTACAAAGTGTGCCTCCCTAAGAAGTTAATAATAGTGTTAATAATTGAAAGAAGATTTAAAGAAATGGACATGTGGCTTATAGCAGGTGATTGAAGAAAAGCTAGGAGTCCTTGTCCTGCCTTCTGAGCCCACCTTTGGCAAGATGTTGTAATTTTTATCATCATTCACTCAGTGAGACACAGAATAAAGAACAGTGAGCAGAATAGAAGTGGTCCCACCTTCACAGAGCTCACAGTCCACTGAAGAATACAGTTAGGAAATTACCTCCCAGGCTGATAAGAATTCTGTGGTAGAGGAAGTACAGGGTGCTGGAAAGTATAGGGACAAGGCAGGAAGTGAGCCCAATGGAGGCCATGGACTGAATGAACTGGCAGAAACACGGAGAGGTTCCTTGCGCTAGAGGCAGCGTGGCTCATGGGAATGGAAAGGGGAAAGAAGGAGGGAGTGGAGCAGGGCCGAGGCTGGCTCTTGAATGCCCATATGAGCCATATTAGGGAGAGACTTTGAGATCCTGGAAGCCATTATTATTTTTTTTTAATTTATCTTTGTTGAAAGTATTACAGATGGCCCTAGCTGGTTTGGCTCAGTGGATAGAGAGTTGGCCTGAGGACTGAAGGGTCCTAGGTTCGATTCCGGTCAAGGGCACATGCCCAGGTTGTGGGCTCGATCCCCGTGCAGGAGGCAGCTGATCGATGATTCTCTCTCATCATTGATGTTTCTATCTCTCTCCCCCTCTTCCTTTCTCTCTGAAATCAATAAAAATATATTTAAAAAAATAGGAAGTATTACAGATGCCCCCCTTTTTCCCCCATTGACCCTCTTCTCACCCCTTCCCACTTCCTCAGACCTTCACCACACTATTGTCTATGCCTTATGGGTTATGTATATCTATAATAATAAAAGTATAGTATGCTAATTAGACAGGACATCCTTCCGGACCTTCTGGATGACTTTCCAGACGAAGCTGTGAGGGCTGAGGCAGCTGCCGCGGTTGCCTTGGGCCGGGGCTGCTAGGGCCAAGCCCCTTGCACGAATTTCGTGCATTGGGCCTCTAGTATGCATATAAGTTCTTTGGTTGATCTCTTCCCCCCACCCCACCCCCTCCCCTACCTCCCCTTTCCTCTGAGATTCGACAGTCTGTTCCATGTTTCTATATCTCTGGATCTATTTTGTTTGTCAGTTTATTTTGTCATTAGATTCCACATGTAAGTGAGATGATGTGATACTTGTCTTTCTCTGACTGACTTATTTCACTTAGCATAATACTCTCCAGGTCCCTCCATGCTCTCTCAAAGGGTAAGAGGTCCCTCTTTTTTACTGCTGCATAGGATTCCATGGTGTAAATGTACCACAGCTTTTTTATCCACTCATCTACCAATGGACACTTGGGCTGTTTCCAGATCTTAGCTATTGTAAATAGCGCTGCTCTGAATATAGGGGTGCATGTATTCTTTCTGATTGGTGTTTTGGGTTTCCTAGGATATATTTCTAGAAGTGGGATCACTGGGTCAAATGGCAGTTCCATATTTAATTTTTTGAGGAAACTCCATACCTTTTTCCATAGTGGCTATACAAATCTGCATTCCCACCAGCAGTGTACTAGGGTTCCCTTTTCTCTACAACCTTGCTAGCACTTGTTGTTTGCTGATTTGTTGATGGAAGCCATTCTAGCAGGTGCGAGGAGATACCTCATTGTCGTTTTAATTTGCATCTCTCTGATGATCAGTGACTTTGAGCATGTTTTCATATGTCTCTTGGCTTTCTGAATGTCCTCTTTGGAGAAGTGTCTTTTTAGGTCCTTTGCCCATTTTTTAATTGGATCGTTTGTCTTTTTTTTTGTTAAGTTGTATGAGCTCTTTATGTATTTTGGAAACTAACCCCTTATCAGATATATCATTGGCAAATATCTCCCATACAGTGGGATCCCTTACAAAATAAAAAGAGCCATTAATGGGTTTTAAGCAGAGTCTCTGTGATTGAATTTGCATTTTACAAGTATCACTATAGCTGCCTTGAGGGCAGCGGAATGTAGCAAGTGTGAGTCCAGGGACACTGATTATGAGGCTTTGGGATTTTTCTCATGTTACTTAAATGAGGAGTAAGAACTCAGCTCAGTTTAGGGAGACGTTTACCTGTTTAGGAATACACAGTGTAAAGTCCAGAGGAGCAGTGGCGCTGTGTATCTGTTGAATGTATTTAGCATTTCTCTAATCAAGTATCATTTAAGTCAGTTTCTGAGACCGAGCAGCACTGGAAGGTAGCATTTGTTAGACTTTTATCATCTGAAGAGTTAGTTCAAACTCCTGGTGTCTATGGAGATAGAAGTGCTTGCTGTGTAGAAGGTTGTTTTTTGTTTTAACTGCAGATCTGTATTTTCCACGTGCCCATCTAGTCATTTGTCTCCCCACAATTCTTCTTTTGGCAGGGAAATGTGGGAACGTTAGGGGAGATAATGGTTCAAACCACTTCTTAGTTCATGTTGGCACAGAAAATATAGGGGCTAAGAATAGCTACAAAACGATGCTTTTCTCAGTTAATGGTGACATCTGGCATTTTTCTTGCCTGTACCATTCTTGGCTTGCTAAACTTTTGTTTATCTTGAAAAAAGTAATGAATGGTTCAACAATGGGAAAATACAGAAAACTAGGACAAAAAATGGTCCATAGGCCTTTCATTTTGGAGACAGTCTAGTTATAATTTTGATAGAATTGCCTTCCTTTTTTGTGATTTATTTTGTTTTGTCACATATTTATGTTTATTTTATAGGTACTTTTTTGGATCAGAGTAATTTTATTTTGTGTTACAGAGTTGTAATCATATAATATATATATATATTTAATTTTTAAAGTTATATTTTTAAAGTATCTGATGTTTGCAACGTAGTATATCATGTATCTATATGTAGATACTTGATATAAATATATATAAGTAAATATAGTATATATATTCGACCACTGGATTTTTAAGATATCTGTCTTTTGTAATATAAAGTAAGAGTAGGATAATACATTTATACACAAGCTCATACAATCATTTTAAATTATTCCATTATTTGGCGCTGCACACAGACTTTAAAGTTTATTTCTGGGTTTCATATAAGCCAACTGTGGATCTGTGAGACCTAAAGTTCTCAG